TATCACGTTTTAACAAGATACGTATCACGATTTAACAAGATACTATCACGTTTTAACAAGATACGTATCACGTTTTGACAAGATACTATCACGTTTTAACAAGATACGCATCACGTTTTAACAAGATACGTATCACGTTTTAACAAGATACGTATCACGTTTTGACAAGATACGTATCACGTTTTAACAAGATACGCATCACGTTTTAACAAGATACGTATCACGTTTTAACAAGATACGCATCACGTTTTAACAAGATACGCATCACGTTTTAACAAGATACGCATCACGTTTTAACAAGATACGCATCACGTTTTAACACGATACGTATCACGTTATAACGTGATAACGCTCGGATTTTTTTTCCCTGCGTGATAGCAATACGCTTCCGTAGATTCCAAAGCAGTTTTCTATGTAAACCTAAACGAAGATGACGTTTCAAGATATCAGAAAAAGAATTGTCAACCTCCACAACTCTGGTTCATCCTTGGATACAGTTTCTATATGTATAAATAATCATCTGTTTAAACAATGACAGTACAGTATAAACACCATGGTAATGTCCTGCCATCACATTGCAGATCTGGCTCACCTTCATCTATTTTGCTTTCTTGAACGAAATCTGTCTTAACATTCAGAAGACATTCACAGAGGGGTTTATGTGTGTTTAATTCTTCACTTGTTTGTCAGGATTTGTCTTGCTGTAAGAAGGTGATGGAAGAGAGAGGAGAATTATTTCTAGAGAAGATCTCTATGTCCAGGACCAAGGTTGCTAAGCTCTGTCACACCTTCATCAAAGATGGTGCTGTAAGTCCAAATCACTTTTTCCTTTGAATGCTGATTCAGTAGTCTCAAACTTGTTTTCCTATTTTGTTTGCATTTAACTGCAGGTAGTTGTTGTTCAGCCATATTTTGATTTCTGACAAACAGTTACCAAGTTCAGACAGTTTGTAGAACTCTGAGGCTCGAAAGGAACAGTACAACTGTATGTCATCAGCGTACAGATAATATGATGCGTTGCTGTAATGTTTTTAAATATCTCCTAAAGGGTATAAATACAATACAAAGAGGATTGGACCCAAAACTGAACCTCGGGGTACTCCAAAAGACAGCAGTGCAACATCAGAGTAAACATGATTCATAAAAACAGTAAAAGACCTTTCAGATGAAGAGGGGAACCAGTTTAACACAGAGCCTGAAATACCAACCAAATCTGTCTGTTGATAAGAACAGTGTGATCCAGTGTTGAAGACTAAAGTTTAAGTCCAATAAAACCAGCACAGTGTAGTTTCCAGAGTCAGCTGCCATCAACAAATCACAAGAAACTTTTAATAAAGCTGTTTCTGTGGAGTACAATTCGTGAAATCCAGATTGAAAAGTGTCCATAATGTCATTTTCCTCTAAAAAGCAGTTTTAATTATTCTGCTACAACCTTCTCAACGATCTTTGATAAAAATGGTAGTTTGGAGATAGGTCTGAAGTTTTCAGGCAGAAAAGAGTCTAAGTTAGGTATTTTTAGCAGCGGACAGACAACAGATGTTTTGAAGCAGTTGTAACAGAGCCAGAACAAAGAGAAGAATTACAACACTTAGGCCAATACAGGTAAAAATATCTTTAAAAAGAGATGAGTAGATGACATCAAGGGAGCTAGAGGACCGTTTCATTCGACCCAAGAGTTCTGTGATGTCCAGAATTGACACTGGGGTGAAAGAGGACTATGTATCAGAGGTCACAGGATGGGGGACCAGATAAAGGGAGTGAGAGAGACATATGCTGTGTCCAAAACGGCAGGCCGGGTCCTCCGAAGGTCGAATTTGTCGGCCGCATACGTCACAGCGCCACGACGAAGGA